TGTGACAAAGCCCAACAATTACTTCTTTCTCTCTCTCTCTCTCTCTCACCCTCTCTGACTCACTGCAATGTAATTACACTGACTGTCCGCTCAAACAGGACACAAACGCGCGCACACACACACACACACAGAGGGAGAGGGGCAACTTATTTCCAATATCTGTGGTTGTAATTGTTCTTTTCTAGACTGCAGTCACTGCATCGCTTTGAGAGAACTGACACAAACAATAAATATTTTCATACACCATAGTTTTCATAGTGACTCGCTGTGTTCCAGTTTCATTCATCACTAGCTGATATGCTGCACCAGTGACCTGCATGACTGAAAGTAGCTCGCTCCAAGTGTGTGTGGGTGTATGAGTGTGTCCTTGAGTGTGCTTGCCCCAAGGAGGGACAAGTCATTAACTGCGATGTAATTTCCTGCCATTGTAGCAAATTTCAGTACACGCAGTAAGAATGCTATGCTGCACAGTGGTCCATGTGCACACATACAGACACTAAAACAACTGTATTAGGACAAGCTCAAAAAATCTGCTAATATCTATTGTCATAAAACTCGTGTTTTTAAACATGACTGCAGGAGAAATGCATACTACATAGCCGCCTGCTTGAACTGACTGGTATACAGGCAATAAATCCAGCTACACCCAGGTGATTTTGGGGATTCAAACACTACAGAGGTTAAACATAGTTTCAGGTTACGGATGCACCAATCTGGATAGTTGAGACATATATATAATATATATATATATATGTCATATTTTGCAGAAATTTAATCTCTGAATTTGCTGGCCCATGTATGACCAAGCAAGTCGGTGAATTATTTTCCAGTTTCCCCATAATCCCCCCATGGTCACGTGTTTTAAAGGAGCACAAAGTGCAGTTGAGGAAAGGGTGATGATGGGTAAAAACAGACGCCAGCAACTTGTGTGTGTTGGCTGCGTGCATTCTTTGCAGCGCTGACGGTCAGCTAAACTGCTTTCAAACCAGACACCGGTTCAACTTCTAGTGTGACTGACTCTTCGGCTAACAGTGCTGTCAGCAGCCTGACAGGAGAGATGCTCTGTGGTGCGCTAGAATTGTATAACTGAACTACGACCAGGACACACTCTTTCTCTTTGTTTGGAAATCTGATATTTGTACACTGATGAACAAAGTACCATATACCATGATATTTTTTGAGACGGGTATCATATCATATCATAATCTCATACTGTTACTCAACCCCACTCTGCAGGAGCGCTGAATCTGCACTAACTGGGTAGAAAGGTGAAATGCATATTTTTTATATTTGTAGATCGTGTGTTGAAGAAAGACATCACTAATAAAGCTGAGTATTTATTAATGACATTTCTGTACTGCAGTTTTTACTTATCGGCCAACATTATGTACACAGATACTGATGTATCTGCGTGTATACCATATATCTATCTCTCCGTGTATACCGTATCTTTCTCTCTCTCTCTCTCTCTCTGATTAATAAGTCTAGTTCTAACATTATTGTAAAATTCCACCTCAGTTAGCAAACACACAAATGCAACCGCAATAATGTGCACACACATATCACTAAACCAAGTTATAATGAGTACAAAGATACTTTCAACTGACAAAACCAAGACCATGTTTACTCACATTATCTTGGGTAAACACAGTCATTATCCCAGCACAGCACACACACAAACAGGTAGGTACACACAAACATAGCAGCACACACATAAAGATGCAGATAGATTTCAGTAGTGTTGCTGAGAGGAAGACCACGTTTTCCTTTTAGCTCCCAAGGGATGCAGCAGGCTCTAGGATGTACAGTAAGTGCTCTGTGGGGTGTGGGGGCTGCTTCCTGAATGCAACCAATCCAGAAGCAAAAGGGAATGGACCATCATTCAGTCTCCTGTCTCCAAAAACACACAAACACACACACACACACACACACACACACACACACACACACACACACTCCTTTTCCTTCACAGCTGAAACCACATGCGGGAGGATGCTGGGGAATAAGTTCCACGGAAGACAGAAGCTGAATTTATAGGGTCAGGATGCACACACAATCACATACAGGCCAGCATTTGCACAAACACACACATAAGGTTAGTCATACATTCAAATGAATTTACTGGTGAAAAAAACAAAATTTGCTCAGTTCAACTGTTCATTCATGTTTTTTTTCCCTTCCTGAGGTGAGTTCGCAAAAAGCATTCATACATTTGTGCAAGATGTGAGAAGACAGCTTAGACCTTCACACAGCTGCGTGTATTTACACAGTAGGTATGAAGGAGCCAATCACTGGGGAAAACTGTGTTTGCTAGGAAAACAACAAACAACTTGTTTTTTCAAAAAAATGCTCAACCTGAAATCTTAAGTAGAAAATCACCCCAAGACAAATTACTTCATTAGGAATCATGAATTCCTCATGACACACATATTAAAAGACACACATACTCTTATTCAGGACATCTACATACCTCCACACACACACACACACACACACACACACAGCATGTGTCTGCAGTGATTGCTATCACTAGTTAGAGTCATTATGAGTCACGCCACATAGTGCAATCTACTGACATTAGACTGCTGGCTTTGTTACCCTCTTGTATTTCTCTACAGTTTTGTTCTGTCTGTCTGCATATCTGTATAGAACAGAATAAACTTGAGTAGGATACAAAGTAGATGACTGCAAGGAGGAAAAGTTTAATAAATAGGTGGAGCACAGCCTCGCAGGACAGAAAAAGAGAAAACAGACTTCAAACAGCGAAGTTCTCCGCAATGTAGTGGCCCGCTCCTGTAAGATCTCTGAGTGTAGTCAAGTGTTTCTATAAATACAGGCCTCCTGCACTGCTCTGCAATTTACACACACACACGGAAGCAGAACCGCGTGCGCACACACACCCCACTGCCACGCCTGTATTAGCCTGCTGTAGACCAGCCACAGGAAGAGTTCAGTAAGAAAGGTGTAGCTATTAACTCTACGGTCAGTGTGAAGTGAATTCATTTCTTCCGACCAACTTACTGACATCTATCACAAATTAAATTACTATTTCTAAAGTTATGCAAAAATTAAAAAAAACACTAAAAATTAAGGTAGAGGGTCCACATGAAGGAATTTTCCCAAAGCCACATGATGTATGTTACAAATTGAAGCAAAACAATGTTTTCTGCTTGTTTTATACGCTGAAGGTCATGGCATGTGATGCCAAATTAGTAGGCTGAGGCTGTAGTTTACCTCACAGTTCAAACACACATGGATGGGATGAATTTCAATGTAATCAAATTGGACAAACTTCATCTCTAACCCACTGAAAGGCTGGCTGCTATCATTTGAAGAAACTGGAGAAACCACAGCCACAGCAAGTTGTCGCTGTCCATATAAATTTACCATAAAAGACCACTGAAAAAAGTGGGCTACTTCTGCATGTGATGTAGCCCTTGGTCATGGTAAGTGAAGGAAGTGGAACTAAACACAAACTCATCAAGTGGGTAAGCTAATTAGCCGTGTGAGCCTTGTTTGCTAATTCAGAAATCCCATCTCAAACCTGTAAAAAGCTCTGTGAATGGCATTTCCAATCAATCCCATTTAAATTAAGATTTAGTTTACAGCTGACAGCGTTTTAGTGCTGTTTTTGTGTTTGTGAACAGGCAACATTTGAGACAAACCTTCAAACTCTGGCTTGTTGTAGCGTAGGAAGTAGCGTCTGCAGGACGCCATCCTGGTACAGGCTTTCATCTCACCAGAATAGCTATTATTCAGATCACAAGAATTTCCCAGAGGTTATTGTCACACCGTCGCAACCACCTAATTTTGCTTGTTTCAATAAATGACAGCCCATCCGAATTTAGAATACCTCAATCAAACAGTGAATAATTGCAACATGACAGTGAAAACACAGTCACAGTTTAGTACATTGTAGGTACAGTACAAATATTGTGATACACAGGTGCATCTAAAACCAAAACCATGACCTTAAAGAAACTTTGCACTCCCTAAACTAACAGTCATGGACCACACCAGCATACAAACTACTGTGTTACGTTTAGCTTGTCCACAGAATTGCAAATATAAGTCTGCAGAACGGCACTCCTATTAGTATACAGTGGGTCTGAAGCCTCATTGGCCTCAGGATACTGCAATTCATTAGCATTTGCTTGCATCTGGAATATGAAGTAGAAGCAAACTAGGCTCCAGCAACAACCCTTTCACAGTTGGGAGAATGCAGAACATAAGGCGGCATGTTTTTAGCGAAAACCTTTTGAGTGTCAATATAACCATTTTGTTATATCGGAGATTAAGGGAAAACATGTTTTTAAACCAGTGCCTTTTTGAGAGGGCTTCAATGTGCTCCTGCATATAAGGAAATATGCTGTGCTAACTGCACCAACAGATTTGATAAGTCAATTCATTGTTTTAAAAGGCCAGCATAAGTTTGACCAACAGCCCAAAAACCCATTATTAAACTGAAAGTAATATAAAACAGAGAAAAACAGCCAATTGTTAGGTATATGTGATGATGAAACCAGTGAATATTTAGCATTTTGCTTGATTAATGTTAGACAACAAAACCCAATGTTGTCAATGAACCAATTGATTATTTGACTAATTGTTCCAGCTCTAATTTGCAAGATTACATTTGTGGATGAATATCTACATAATCTGTACTGGTATGCACCTGATCTATTATGTTAGCCAATAAATCACAGGAAAATGCGAGGGAGTGTATGCAGGCACATCCTGTCACACTTCTAACTAATCAACACAGCTATTTAGCCCATAACACTAAATAACTGGGCCAACTGGTTAGGTTTTTCAAAGTCTTCAGAAACACGAAAATTAAATATGACTGATCCATTATGATAGAAAGTAAGAGTTCAGGTTCAGTTTGTTATGGAGGGTTGAATCCATGACACAGGGAACAAAAAATACTTGAGACAGAGATTCGGTTGCTAAATGTAGGTTAATCCGGTGCACTTATTTAACGTTGAGAGTTAACTTACTCCACATTCACTCCATGTGACTGTGTGGCGACGAGTTTAGTGGCAGTAGGTCACTCTTCTTTTCCACTGCTCCAAGTTACTGAAAAGGGGAAAACTACGTCCTAGTTCTGGTGCTGTAAAGCAAAAGCTAACTTATCAGTTATTTCCCGACTATAACCAAGTGAATAAATATTAACAGCGGCGCAAAAACTGGGAGAGGAAACAGCTAACGTCACCGAGCCAGGACGAACGTTGACTGTTCACCGCATCCCACACTTTCTTTCAGCTCTTGAAATAATCTCCAAAACACAACATCACTCACGTTGACTTGTTCCAGGGGACGTCCGAGAGGTTTGCGCTAACTTTACCGGCGGGGGAAGCCGTAAGCAGTAGGTATATAATCCGTTATTTCAGTTGTAGAGCGAGGAGTAGTTACAGTGTGTTTTTTCGCTCCTGCCTGTCTCCCCCCTCTCCCTCTCTCGTCGCCTGTTCCTGCTTCCCCTCTCCACATCCAGCATTCCAATATGGCTGCTGCAGGGAGCGACACAGACAGAGAGAGGGGGGGAGAGACACGGGGAGAGAAGCTACTCCTTATGAGGAAAGCCTTGCCGCAGGCAACCCGTGAATGAATGAACGAACGTGTAGATACTTTACATGTTATAATTAGGCAATTATACTATAGTATAATAAATACATAATACAGTAGGATCCGTGGTAGAAAAAGTAGCAATACTGTGAAGAAACAAATAAAATGCACACATTAAAAATGTTACTAAAACACAAATATAATCGTATTAGCATCAAAATACACTAAAAAGTAGGCTGTCAAAAGGAATGCAGAATCATATTAATATTAAAATGACTTTAATGTTACAATGTTACCATTTCTTGACTGACTTTATGATGAGTAAAGTTAAAACTTTTTTTTTGGCCAAGACCAGGGTCACAAGATTGGGTCATAGTCTTAGTTGATGTTGAACTCTAATGGTGCAAATTCCTAAACAAATTTGTAGTTAATCAAATTACTTACAACCGCTTGACATGGAGTGAACCAGGGGCTTTTGGAGCCTCTGGGTTTGCAGTTGCCCATTTTGCTTGGCTAGACCCGTACTGTTGACTGGCTGGCTGAAAGACTACATCCTCTGAATGGCAGAGATGTTTATGTCAAAACCCATTAAATTATCATTTGAATATCGCCCTAGTGGCTTTGACGTACTCAGTTTTTCATGTCAATGCCAGGTACTGTTCTTTAAGGTTATACTGTAGTTTATACAAGATGTGCCTCTCTCCTCTGTGCACAGGTTCACGAACGACATCTGGTGGTCAGTACTTGTCAATGCAGAACAATTGGGTTTACATATTGCCCTGAGGGCAGGGATTTCCACATATTTAGCAATGTGGTCGGATCACTATCTTTGGTTCTGCGGCCGGGAATATCAGACACGCAGATCTATATTTGTAACTTGTCAATTGTCAAAATAGGCTTCTTCTTTTTTTATGTATGTAATTTCCGTTGTCTGATAGCAACTGCTGTAAAACATGGATGTTTTGACTTGTTTCTTAATTGCTGGGGCAAAAATCAATCGACCAATCAGTCAATCAAATTTTACAATAGTCACAGAAATTACTTGACATGAAATCTGTTGTTTTGGCTAAGCCTTTCTTATGTCAAAGTTCGAGTGTACACTTTGTTACGAAATCCCTCAACCTCTAACTCAAAATACACTGCCGTGACCCGGATTCGAACCGGGGTTGCTGCGGCCACAACGCAGAGTACTAACCACTATACGATCACGGCAAGCTATACCCTGCAGAAATGACGAAGCAATCACCAGTTTATACGGTGACTCTGGCTGATTTAATCTCTTTGGTTTAAATCACTGTAGCCTAGGCTACATCCATGCAACTAGCTCAGTGGAGAGGAGACATTACATTGAGGTTATGTATGGGCTCATTATGAATTATTATCCAATATAGATGATGCAGGGAGTGAGAGAGTTAGATAAAACTATAGAAAGGGTTGCCTGTCATTACGTTTTTCATCATCACCGTTGCCTATACCGCCACCTCGTTTCTATATACCTATATATACAATGTTGTAAAGTGAATAGCTTTTATTTTGTCGCCTAGGGCCTAATTGGCCTAGGCTATACACGTTGTGTGTAATGTAAACTGCAAGGCTCGCAGGAACCCTCTAAAGGTAGAAATGGTAGGCTATTACTTATGTCTGGTAACAGGACTAGTAGTGAGAAAGACCTATTCTGTGGTCTAAGTTTTGTTTACGTTTACAATGAAAAAAACGGAGTCATGATGGCCAGCTGTGATCGTATAGTGGTTAGTACTCTGCGTTGTGGCCGCAGCAACCCCGGTTCGAATCCGGGTCACGGCATCTTGATGTCGATTTTAAAACAAATGTTAGGAGACTCTAATGGGGTACCTCGTGGACAAGTTTAACACATCCATGAAACTGTCACATTGTTAAGCTGATTGCAGGTATTGCGCTGAGACTACATTTGGACTTGTCATCAATACTTTTAGGCTATAGATAGTGCAGGCAGGGAGACAGATACAACTATAGAAAAGGTGGCCAGTCATTGCATTCTTCATCATCACTATAACCTAGTAGACAGTAGATGAAGAATAGACTGGAGAGGGAGAGGGTCAGAGAGACGGAATATAATATAACTAGAACAATACCGACTACATACCATGAAAAACATGGAACAGCTGCTAGTTACAGTAGCTAGCCACAGTACAAATGTATTTAGTTATCCTAATGTTACACCTGTGAGCTGTCTGTGATATTTCCTGTCTCACTTGGCCCTGACTCTCCCTGCAACAAATGTTTGTGAACACAGAACTGTCTTCAATGCAAATATTGATGACATGTCGTTGGACGAACAAAGTATTTTTACTACGTGAGTTTTAGAATATAGCCTACTATGTCTAGTAGCTATCCATACAACTTACACGCTCGTCCTCCTCAGTTCTTTCCTGCTCCTGTGACCTCTGTCCTCTTCCTCTAATACTGTAGGATCCTCGTTTCTGTGTGACAATTGACTACTTAATTGTTTATGGACACGTAGCAGAGACACACCTCAGGACACACGTTTCTTAAAAAGTGGCCCAGGAGTTTGTCCCTGGTCAGCCCACTCTCCAAACAAAGCATTTGTCAGGGGCTCTGGGGCATTTATTCCTGTATTCTTGAGAATTTTATGCAAGTAGAGTATATAACTAAATGAGCCTTTAAAATTCTAAAACTAGTAACACTGTTTAACTCTCCTATGGTAAAGAAATCAACTCAGCTGAGCCCTTGATTACAATAAATAAATAAATAAGCCATATCATCATGAATCTTACATAAACTGGTGCTTTGGCCTGTGCTGGCTTTGACTCTGCTCTTGCCCTCATCTCTGCTGTCTGTCTCATGTTCACCATGTCAGCGCTAGTACTGGTGCTGCTGGTCAGTGGCAGGTAGAGTACTAATCTTTACTCAAGAAAACCAAACCACTTGCTTTGCAATAGCACAGAAAGCCAATACAATCTGATTATTCCTAAATAATCTTCACAATGCAAACAATTATTGTGGCAGTAACACAGGAGCAGCTCCTTGTTGAAGCAGGTAAACCTACATACAGAGAAAGCTGTGCTTCATGCATAAAGGCCAACAGGAGTGTTTTATCCACCCATATTTTCTCTCTCTCTCTGCATCTCAAAAATGAATGTTTCCAGAATAAATAACAGCTGGTAGCTGCTGAGTGAAGCCAAGATTAGTTTCACCGGACACATTCTGTTTATGGACTCACCGTAGGATATCGCTATAAAACAAATGGTAACCAAAGTGAGGGTAAAAACAGGCTAATATCCATCAAAAGAAAGCGATGCTCTTTTCAACAACAGGATATAGGATACTGTTAATATATCAGAATCAATCGATCATCTAACTTTTGTTTCAGTGTGAAGAAGTCTACGTTTGCTATGCACAGAGTAAATACGTGTGTAATACGTTGTTAATGGAAAGTATTTATTTGCCGGCTTGTTAAAGAGCGACGCAGGCTGCTTTCCAACACGGCCACCAGTGCCATGGTGCGCGCTGGATTTCAGTTATATTATTAGAACAATAAAGCCTTAAACTGAAAAACATTTGCCTGATTTTCTAAATGTTTGCATCTGCCCAGCTCTGTGACTGTGACAAGCGCCTGACAAGCGCTTTACTGCGTAACTGCGCGCGCGCGCACACAGCCTGGATCATTTCGGGTTAATGAAGCAAATGCAGATTACAGAAGTTTTGAAGGTATGAATGGAAAATGTAGCGTTCTAAAAAAAAAAGTATACAAAACATAGACAAAACATAGACTACTCCTACTCGTATGATTCTGTACAGTGTAACACCTATACTAGTGAATTGATAAACATATATTCTGTACGGTAAGCTTTGTTTAGGTTGAAGTGTAATGAGACGTGATGGCCAGCCGTGATCGTATAGTGGTTAGTACTCTGCGTTGTGGCCGCAGCAACCCCGGTTCGAATCCGGGTCACGGCAATCTCTTCTCTGGATGTTTTGAAAAAGTGATGGCACACAGACAATGAAGGAGGGCTACTCTGAATTAAATGTGTTTTAATGACAGTCAAAATAAATACACAGCACGAAAAATGTGCAACATAGCTGTTCACGGTATTTATCATACAGCAGAATAACAATATTGTTAGTAGCCTATAGCTTAGTGGTTAGTAAGCTACTCTGCTTTGAGGCCGCAGCAACCCTGGTTTGAATCTGGGTCAGGGCAGCTGGTGGCTATTTTATTGCTAAACAAAAGAGACGACCAGGTCTGATAGTTTGTTACTATCAAATGGTTAAGGGCCCAGCTCACGCACAAGTTTAATAGCCCAGGCCTACATCTCTTTATACTAGCCATATAATATTGTACACTTCAGTTTCACATTTCAGTGTTTAGACTTATTTTTGGGGCATGTATCCTCTGTATTTATATTGACTGTTATTGAACCACGTTTAGTTTTCGTAGCTCTTTTTCATTATCTGTGTGGGTAGGCTATGTGAAATCTCCCTTTTGAAATATGTAGAGAGCTTACCCTACAGAATACATGTCTATCAATTCACTAGTAGCCTATAGATTTTACACCAGAATTTAAATCTACCTTTTCTACCTTTAGAGGGTAGCCTACCTGCGAGACTTGTTTTCTACATTTCACGCGACTTGTAGGCCCTAGGAAAAGCTGTAGCCTGTGTTTGATCTCTATAAAACGTGTCTGGTTTGCTTTAGCGGTATATACAACATTGCAAGGTATAGCCTATAGAACAGAAGTGGTGGAGACTACAGTGATGATGAAGAATGCAATTAATGAAAACCTTAGTTTTATCAAACTATCTCCCTGCCTGCACCATCGCGAGATTATTTTATTATATTGATCATGAGCACAAACACAGCGTCAGTGCAATGCTTCCTAAGAATTCTCCAGTCTCCAGTGAAACAGTTTCATCGATGTATTAAACTCGTCCGTGAGCCACCCCATTAAAGTCTCCTTATATTTGTTTTAAAATTGACAACACCCTGCCGTGACCCGGATTCGAACCGGGGTTGCTGCGGCCACAACGCAGAGTACTAACCACTATACGATCACGGCTGGCCATCATGTCTGAGTGGGTCTTTCAGTGCTGTAAAGACAGTTTAGCTGAGGATAGATGTTATCGATTTTACCCTATATGACACACAACAGAGTTTTTATCCTTTTCTACATTTCACAGTAGTAGGCCCTTATGTAATGTAAAAGCTGTAGGTCTGTGTTTACTTTAACACTGCAACTGCAACCCTTTCTACTGCTCTAATTATCTGTTATAATTAAATAATTAAATAATAATTAAAATGCTGTAAGCTATTATATTATATTTATAATGATTACATAGGCCTAAATAGCCCATATTATTGTTAAAAATGCTAAATAGCCCATATCATGAGATGAAAGTTAGGGCCATTACGCACCCCTCATATGTTTTGACAGAAAGCTTCTATATTGGTGATACAATTTCATTGATATTTCATTGATATTTCATTATATAATATTTTTTTTTTCTTCATATTCAATTACTACGAAATTGTCTTCAGATGTATTTAATGTTTTGCAAATTTACAATAAAGATGATCGGTTATAACATTTGCATACGTATTATATGGGCCAATGTACAGGCCAAAATGTCGCTGTAAAAATATAGTTTATATGTGAAAATTACAATATTTAAATGTAGTACAAAAATACTGTAAATGTACAGGAATTTACTGTCTACCACGTTGCAGTAATAAAACAGTTAAATTGACGAACTACAAGTAATCACTGTGGTTGGTATACAGCACCATACAGTAATTTTTGCAATAAAATATTGTTGTTTTACAGTAATGTTGTTGTTGGGTTACTATGAAAACACAGCGCATTTGCTGTAATATAACTGTAAATTGCTGTAATTACAATTTTTATTACAATATCACATTGTAATTATACAGTATTATTGTGTCTGGTTACTGTAGAAATACAATACAGTAGCCTACTGTGATTTTCATTTAGCCTATATTACTGTAAAATAATTACTGTATAGCCTACTGTAGGTGAATTTTTGTACAATTAGCCAAGAATTTAGTGTAAAAAATAAAGGGAACATTTAAACAACACAATTGAACTCCAAGTCAATCACACTCCTGTGAAATCAAACTGTCCACTTAGGAAGCAACACTGATTGACAATCAATTTCACATGCTGTTGTGCAAATGGAATAGACAACAGGTGGAAATTATGGGCAATTAGCAAGACACCCCCAATAAAGGAGTGGTTCTGCAGGTGGTGACCAGAGACCACTTCTCAGTTCCTATGCTTCCTGGCTGATGTTTTGGTCACTTTTGAATGCTGGCGGTACTTTCACTCTAGTGGTAGCATGAGACGGAGTCTACAACCCACACAAGTGGCTCAGGTAGTGCAGCTCATCCAGGATGGCACATCAATGCGAGCTGTGGCAAGAAGGTTTGCTGTGTCTGTCAGCGTAGTGTCCAGTGCATGGAGGCGCTACCAGGAGACAGGCCAGTACATCAGGAGACGTGGAGGAGGCCGTAGGAGGGCAACAACCCAGCAGCAGGACCGCTACCTCCGCCTTTGTGCAAGGAGGAGCAGGAGGAGCACTGCCAGAGCCCTGCAAAATGACCTCCAGCAGGCCACAAATGTTCATGTGTCTGCTCAAACGGTCAGAAACAGACTCCACGAGGGTGGTATGAGGGCCCGACGTCCACAGGTGGGGGTTGTGCTTACAGCCCAACACCGTGCAGGACGTTTGGCATTTGCCAGAGAACACCAAGATTGGCAAATTCGCCTCTGGGGCCCTGTGCTCTTCATAGATGAAAGCAGGTTCACACTGAGCACGTGACAGACGTGACAGAGTCTGGAGACGTTCTGCTGCCTGCAACATCCTCCAGCATGACCAGTTTGGCGGTGGGTCAGTAATGGTGTGGGGTGGCATTTCCTTGGGGGGCCGCACAGCCCTCCATGTGCTCGCCAGAGGTAGCCTGACTGCCATTAGGTACCGAGATGAGATCCTCAGACCCCTTGTGAGACCATATGCTGGTGCGGTTGGCCCTGGGTTCCTCCTAATGCAAGACAATGCCAGACCTCATGTGGCTGGAGTGTGTCAGCAGTTCCTGCAAGAGGAAGGCATTGATGCTAAGGACTGGCCCGCCCGTTCCCCAGACCTGAATCCAATTGAGCACATCTGGGACATCATGTCTAGCTCCATCCACAAACGCCACGCAGAGTACTAACCACTACACGATCACGGCAACCCTGGAAGACATTTCGTCCCTCATCCAAGGGACTTCTTCCATTCTCAAACTTCCATCCCTCATCCAAGGGACTTCTTCAGTTCGAGAACAGAAGAAGTCCCTTTCCAGTATCTTCAACCAAGTCCAGTTGCGCTTGACTTTAACCTTCTTTGGATAAAACAATTAAAATATTATTATAAACAATTGTGAAAAGAAGAAATAACAGTTAGCCTACTTCGTTTCTGTTTGTATCAATATGAAGTGGGCTGTTATAATTAGTTTGGTAGTTCAATCACTAATTATTTTTTATCAGTCTTTACATGTTGCAGTATACTAAACACACAGCAGATGACGCCACGGTTCTGTTTACGAGGCTTCTTGAGCTGTAAAAGAAAAAAGCTTTTATTTTGACATTTGCTGTACCGGAAGTTTGTGAACGTGGCGTTGCGTCGTGTTTAACAGGCCAGCGGCAAACCTCAATGTGTGTGTGTGTAACCGTTGAATCACAGTTACTGTAAAAGAGAGAGACAGTATTTAAGTTACTAATGTAGCGTTTGCACCCTTTAACAGGTTTATGACAGCGAGCTGAAGCTAGTGAACTTTGTGTGACTTAACCGTCTGCCGGTGGAAATGATCGCGTAATTTAAGGTCAGTCTTTTGATATTTAAGTTGCTTTGTCAAGAATCTTGCTCGACTCGTCTTAACAAGTCAGTGTCAAGCCCTTCAACTTAACTTAACTTAGCTAACTTTAAGGTAAAGCTAATGTCAGTTGCAGTTATAAAATGTTCTGTTCGTTAAATGTTCTTAACGTTAATGTTGCTGACATGTTAAACATCTAGGATAAACGAAAAACATGGTTGAGTGAAAATAAGTTGCTGTTCAAATTTATTTAGGCTTTTCTAGTCCCACGATGAATCAGAGGGATGTGTCTTCTCAGTTGGCACATAACCACATGCTGTTAAATTTTTGTATTTTTCCACCGCCGCCAAAACAACGAAAATGTTTTACTAATGAAAATAAATGAGATCACAGGCTGTGTCAAAAGTAGCATTGAAATATAAGTAACACTAGTTTTTATTGAAATTTAAGTAGTTCAAGTCCAGTGAAAAACCTTAAATGATACAAAATTAAGAAGTTTAAAGTAAAAATCGATACCTCACTAAAACTGAGACATTTTTAGGTATATAATTAACAATCAAATGAAAGAGTTTTGTTCATTATTTCGCTGTGTCTTCCTTTATTAGTATTATATAAAAAATAAACAATATTGTACAAACAAAGCTTCTGAGGGTGGATTACCACAGGTTGTTCCAAGGTGTTCGAATTGCAAATTGGGACAGCAGTATCATCTTTCATGGCTTAATTCACTTCCATTGCTGCAGAATAACTTGAAGTTAACTAATTAGCTGATCCCTCAAAAAAGGTCTCTCTCAGTTTTGCTGACCTAAACTTTGTCTTTACCTTCTTTGGTTATTCTGAAGTAAATGAAGCCTTGAATGTTGATGCAAAAACAAATTTTTACAGCTTTCCCAGTTTGTATACCTTGGCACAGGCTGTGTTAATACACCCTCAGATGCTAAAAAGGCAGTTAATGAATGAAGACAGACCAGTTGTTCTCTTAAATTTAATTGTTAATTTTACACCTGAAAATGTCCCTGTTTTGGTGACGTAAACGTTTTTAACTTTTGTATAATTTAATGTATTTCACTGGACTTGAAACTACTTATATTTCAATAAAAACTAAAAAGAAATGTGGGTGTTCTAAAACTTCTGACCAGTACAATATTGTCTGCTTCTGGTTGTGAATGACTACTTTTCTCACAAACCCGCCTAAACCTAGTAAATCTTGGCTGGTGACAATTAAAGCGGCATGTCATCCATTTTAAGAGTTCACCTTCTTCCTGTGTCACAGAACAGCCCAGTAAACACTTGTGGACATGTGCTGCTCTGTTTGGGATTTCAATAAAGTCAGAGGCTGCTTCATTTGCAATGAAAATGCACATGACTGTGCAGCCCTAAGGTGCAAAATTGTGTAGATGAAGATGGACATTTTGCATAGAATTTGCAACAAAAAAATGAGAAGTCAATAAAGTCTGCCAATTGCCAATTTGCAATTCAAAATGCCATCTGATTTCTAAATTCAGACAAAATTGATAGTGGCAGAACTGTCCCGAGGCACACAAATAACATGTGAATTCCCAAAATTACTTTCATTACTCTAATAAGTGTGTTACTTCTCTTAACCACTTCCATTGTGGAAGCAGCCTTCTTCCATACGTTTGTTTGCCAGCAACGGCTTGGTGAAAATTACTGTCGGCTACATCAAAGCTGCTTCCTCTCTGAAAATACTGAAGACAAGATTGTTTGTTAAAGGTCTCTGGATGTCTGCATGGAGGCTACCTCCTCAAAGCTCAACTCCCCTACTCAAGTCTCAACTAGATTAAAGTGAGGTATATTGATGGTAGTTAATCCACTCAGGTTTGTTTTTTCAGTGAAATCTTTGTAAACAATGTGAATGAAGAAAGTACATGCATGGCTTTTTTTAAAAACATTTAACTGTAATGTTTATTAAGTTTTTGTTCATATCTTTATTAAAAGAAGAGCCAAGAAAGGAAGAACTACATTCACTGCTTTTGAATTTCTAGATGGATTCTCTTTGTTTTTCTCCTTCTGTCTCTCTTAGTGTTGTATGCATGACATATGCATTTTATTAACTGTTTGAGCGTGTGTGTATGTAAGAGACTGCCCTGCCAGTTTATTTGCGTGAGATGGTTAATAAAACTAGTATGATGATGGACATTGGTCCAGTTTATGAGAAGTGAATACACACACACACACACACACACATATATGCAGTTTCCAGAATTAGGGGCTTTCAGGGAACACATTTGTGTGCGCGCGTCTGAGTGTTTCCGTGACACAGCAGGGTGGTTAGTCAGAGGCTGGAATGGCCTGAAGATTGACAGAGAGAAAGCAAGCAAGCTTGTCCAAGGTAGAGAAAGAAGAGAAAATGGCCAAACTGAGAAGGGGACAAAAAGGAGAGAACAGGGAGGTGAGATGAGAGAGAGAAGAGAGGATAGTTGAAAGACATGAAAGAGAAATGTTGAGAAAAGGAGCCCAGGAGCGCAGTTCCTTGAGTTTTGCCTGTAGCTGCAACTAATGCAAGTCAGATGTTTATTATTGGATCTGTCTGACCCAGATAGATATAGATATATATAGGTTAATTGATAAGGATTTAAAGTAGTACTCAATGTTGATAATACCCGAACAAGGGTATGTGTACCACAGGTGGTTGCAGTTACCAGGAAAGTGTCTCTACAAAATGAAGATGATATATATAAATAAATACCTTTTTATAGATACCTGATGCTTTATGCATAATATTGAAGTTCCATCTTTTGAATAAAGGCCACTGTGCTTCAAGGGAATATGTTTACAGATTTTTAAATATAATAATATAATAAAAATATAAATTTAATTTTTTTTTACACACCGGTTGGAGTTGACAATCTTTTTTCAGCCCTGAGCAGTATCAGCAGGTATTATATATTTTTTTATTTCTTTTTTTACGCTGCATACACACCCATCTAAAAGTTATGGGTTAACGGTTGAAACGTCCGGCTCCTGTCCTGTTCAGGTGGTGTGAATGCTCACTTATAATGAATCATAATTAGTGACAGAACGGATCAATTTCTCTCAAGAAATTGCTCACAAATTAGGACAGCTGCAGTGTTTTCTTCTTCCTCTTTAGGTACAGTCATGGTAACTTGGTCTTCCCATCACTGATTCTGATGACAGAACTGATTTACCGCACGAGTGACTAAACCCTAACATCTGCTGGGCGTGCGTGCGTGCGTGTGTGCGTGCGTGCGTGTGTGTTGAGGCAGAAGTTTACAGATTTCTTTCTCTCTGCACGTGTCCACACAAGTGTGGATGTGTGTCTTGGCATACATCTGGAGGAAGTTGTGGGTGAAGACATTTTTCTGTGTGTGTGTGTGTGTGTGTGTGTGTGTGTAATGATTTAAGTGAGATCTGAGAATCTGCGGGGTTTTTGTTTAGCAGAGTTTGCTATAATTCACAAATTAGATTGCTCAATCTCTATTTTAGTCATTGGGTAAAATTGACCTCGGATGAGATCAGCGTCTGGTTTGGGAGTCTTTTGTGAGTCAAAAATATGAAATCTTTGAACAATCATCGCAGCTCCTTCTGTCATTGTCGTCATCAACATTGTCATGATTTGAACCTCTTTAATTCTAATAAGGGTGGGTGAGATGTCTAAAATCTTCTATCACATTATGTTCATTTATTGATATATGAAAATGCTTTATAGATAAAAAAATTTTTTTTGGATAATTGAGTGAACTGAATACTTGAATAAACAAGGAACTGACATTTACATCTTAGATTTGCACCATTTCCTGCTATTACTTAACATAACCACAGATATTGCATGGATAGATACCTAAGTACAAATTGTATTCGAAAAAGTTTCTGACAGTTCACAACAATTTAGGAAAATGATCTCATATCAATGCACTTTGTTTGTGTGCGCGCGCGTGTGTATGTTTCTGGCAGTGTTTGTGATGGCAGAGCTCCCGTCTGGACTGCTGGAGGCATGTGTAGTGGTCGGTGCCCCCAGTGATAAGCTTCGAGACATATACCAGGTACACACACACACACACACACACACACACGTATATAAATACATACTCAAAGACTGTCACCTAAAAAAAGTCACACAAAGTATGCAAACAAAGAAATGCATGCTTCATGTGTCAACATATGGATAATCTGAATTTCAGTGACATCTGACACATTCCTGAGCTATCTGAATCACTGCTCCATACTTTAGCCCTGCTGTATATCAGTGTACCCTTAAAGATTGCAGGATAGGAAGTGCATGTGATGTTGCTTCTCTGTAAGTGAGTGTTGTAATCACAAAAAAAAGAGTTCATATGTATGTAGAGTTCACAACAGTGGAGACATGTAGGTAAAAACAGTATAACATGAACAAAGGTTTAAGATATACAGTTTACAACAGGTAGTCCCAGCCTAGATGTGGTTGGTCAGATGCATTAAGAATGTTGTCACAATAACAAAGAGGCCAGTTGGTTAGCCATCTTTGTAATTTTTTTGTCCTTTTTGAATTTTAAATGATTTTATTTGTAGTGTGATAATAGCAACAATGTCTTAAAATACAGTCATGGTTCAATATACAAAACTACAATTTCTTCTACTTAGGCTGAATTCAGACCAAATTAGCTGCAGGGTTTTGCAGTGACATGGGGATGTCCCTCTCCTCATTCACTCTCGGAGGCTTGTCTCCTCTCACTCACTCACTCACTCACTCACTCACTCACTCACTCACTCAAATTAATGAACCAAAGGAATCTCCTTGGTATTGCAATTTAAAAACAAAGCGAGGACACAACTGGGAGAGCAGCAGTTTGGTCCAGGATAGTGCCTAGCTTTAGTGATATTTCAGACTGACTGTGGAGCGCTGCGGCCGGATTGGCCACCGCAGCGTGAGATCTGGTTACATCCCTGCGGATTCAGAATCAATTAAAGGATCTGTGTTTTCGCCGTGGTACCTGGTTTGGTCTGAATTCAGCCTTATGCCTCACAGCTTCACATTTTTATTTATATATATATATATATATATATATATATATATATATATATATATATTTACTTGACATTTTATCCAAAAGTAACTGAATTGATGTTACAGCTTTGAAAGCAATTTATTAAGACATCAGAATAGATTTTACGTTGGGTGACTTGGTTGCCAAACCTATTACCCTAAATATTTCCAAACTGTGTCATAGCTTCATCAGCAGAGTAGGTTAAATGAGCTCCCCCCGCTGGAAGCTGAGGTGCTGCAGGTCCATGCCCCACCCTTTGTTTCCAAGGAGACCAATTCCAGCCAGTCGATTGGTCCATCTTTCAGTCGTGTCCAGAGGAGGAAGAGCTTCATCAAGAAGGTAAACAAAATATTTTTCAATGTGATTGCTGTTGGGCTTAGCAAGGTACATTTCTATTTCTAGTATCCTATGTTTATCTTATTTAACCATTTTAATTATACTTCATTCTTTCTCCACCTCATTTTAGTGTTAACTCACTTGCCTACTTGAATCGGCTCCGTTTGCTTCTAAGTCTGTTTCACATACCCTGTCACAGCTGTGAAAATAAAAGGGTTTAATTTTTCTTTTGTGAGACTGAAAATTATGAGCATATAGTTTGGTAGGCTTCCTGAAATTATTAGGTTTAATATGAATGTGTTTATTTTAGGTTAGTATGTATCTTGTAGCTTATTATAGAGACTGGTCATGTAGCGCCCCACCTTTTGCTATATGGGCGCAGGTAATGTGGTGAGTTTACAGTAAATGTGACCACTATATGAGCATCTTTCATTGCATGAATGGATTTTCGTTCTGTTAATTTAGACAATGTTTGGAACACTTTTGAGTGTGTTAAATAAATGAATCTGATTTTTGAAGAGACAAGAAGTTCTTAAAAGTGAGGTGGAACAACCACTTATTCAGTGCCTGAGGCTTTTAATGTGGAAACGCCGACACACAACCGAGCTGAAAGAATAAGGCTAATATTTTCATACGTGCCATAAGAACACATTAAATGAACATATTAATTTTATGGACTGCACCTATCCATTCAGGCCTTCACACTGCTGGCATTTTTCTGTCTTCCTGCATGTGTCAGCAGTAGCTGTGCTACTTTGGCTTTGTGTAATGTTTGCTGTTTGTAAACTGTAATGTTTGCTGTTTGTAAACTGTAATGTTTGCTGTTTGTAAAAAAAATTCTGCTCTTCATGTCTGTGATTGGTCACAGCCTCTTTTATGTGAATGCGCTCCTGGCTGGATTGGGAAACCCTGGGTTGAATTACCGAGTTGATAACCAGCTTTGTGTGACCGCTTATCCCGATCTCAATTGATAGGAATAGTGAAGCCAGATAATGAAAAGAGAACCTGGATATGTCAAACTCGCTTCCTGTTAAAGTCTATCTGCAGGAAACGCTGACATTTGTTGTTTTTCTGTTTGTTTGCAGAAGCGGAGAGATCGTCCTGCAGAGGTTTTGCCTAATGGAGAAACAACAGAGGACATCAGTGTTCCAAAGGATCTGGACCTCATTGCCTTGCCACAGCTCTGTTTCCCTGGTATAGTGTGTTTCCTCTGTGACAAACTTAACGTTACCGTTAAGTTTTACATTTGCCTGGTATGCTCTGCTTACTTCTGTAGCGCGTAACATTAGATGTCCAAACCTGGATCTCTACCGATCAAACAGATCACCTGATGTGATTGATGCTGCTGCTCTCTGGTTACAATCATGGATCACTATCTTGCCAGGCTGGCACCAGAACAAATAAAGTCCCTGGAACCCTATCTTGCTAGAAGTCCAAAATGCAGATAATGCATTGTCTTATTATAATGACAAGCTGTTTTCATTGTTACTACTTCTCCATTTTAATGTGAACAACACTGCAGAACCTGTTTCACCACCCCTCATTGTCACGGCAGTGTTGGATCATGCTTTGTTCTTTGTATCTTGTGCTGCATCTCACATGTTTTGACATTATCACCCACTTATATTTGTTTGCCTGGCACTTGTGTAATTAAGCTCAGAGTTGGTAATATCAGAGTTTCTCAGTCGTTATTAGGACGTGGATGTTGGTTTAAATCAAACTCCTATATGACATGAACCCAACTTAACTGTCTTTAGTGGCATAAAGTATCTTGAGAGACGTCTTGGTTTCCATTGGCTAGGTGGTCTCCAGTTAGCCAACGAGCAGAGAGAAGACACTTATCACTTCCTGGTTTTCACTGACCTTTTTGGGAACCGAACCCATGGAGTTGTCCTGCAGTATTACAGAGCTGTACAGGTACAAACACAAACACACACACACACACACACACTCTCATACACGTTGAATCCAATAAATGCAGACAGTTGTTTCTCATTGGTTGTCTACCCTGTCAGTCCTGTCAGGAAGGTGCTGTCAAGAATGGCTACAGAGGGAATTCATCAAAGTCCCGTCTCTTTGCTCCGTTTGCTGTGTGCATCATCTCCAAGTTCCCGTATTACAATGCTCTGAGGGACAGCTTGTCATGGTAATAATTTCCATTAAATACATAAATCTGACCTATTTGAGTTATTTAATGACAAGTTAAACCCTTTCTCTGTATCTCCTGACTCCACCTTCTCAGTCTGGTGGTCCAGTTGCGGCCTGCAAGGCAAGCTGACTTTGAAGAGACAGTAAAAGAATTTTCAGCCAAGCTGTCCCTGGTCCCTTTGCCCCCTCCTGGACAGCTACACGTGGTCAGTCTCTCTCTGTTAAGCCAACTCCTTCTATCTGTATTTGTGTGACCAATTTCCATTTGAAGTGATAGATCTTGACAGTAATGTGTGTTTTCTGTGCATTAGTCCTTCAGCCTCCGTCCCCTCCAAGTGGTTCTTCCATCAAGAGAGGATCAGGACAGCCCTGTCATTGACATCGACCTGCATCTACCTTTCCTCTGTTTCACGCACAAAATGCTGCTCCAGGTAAATGCAGATCACAGAGGCTAGTATGGAATGGCATATACAAGGAGAGGTGATAACATGATTTAAATATATTTATCTATATATATCATTAAAAGGTGCATTTGCTGTTTATTGGCAACTTTTGGAGACAGAAAAAAAGGGACGTATAGGCAGGTCCTTCCTGATTGAGTAAATTTGCTTAATTCAGTGTCGCAGATTCAGTTGCACTGCTTCTTGTGGGATTTAATGTAAAGCAGCTGTTCTTAAAGTGGGGTCTTGGGACACATGGGTTTCATATACTTTCTGTGATAAAACATCTAAAAGCAAAACTCCTATCAGATGGTTGACCCTGGGACAAAATCTTATCAAATGTGGCTCCCTAATCTAATTTGTGTCAGTTTAGTGGTCCTTTGTGTGAAAAAGTTCGAGAACCACTGAAGTAAAAAAGCATGTCAGAGATCATATCCTAAACAGTAAAAAAACAAAATGTTCATTTAACCCCATGAGGCTGTCCTCTCTCTAGGTGCTGTCCTGCATCCTTCAAGAGCAGAGGCTGGTTTTCTTCTCTGCTGACTGGGCCAGACTCACTCTGGTTGCAGAGAGTTTGCTGTTGTACCTGCAGGTCAGTGGAGGAGGAGCGTTACCTTGAAGAAATGTCTTGAAACTTCCTGCAGCAGCCTTCTCTCGTCCATCTTTTCATCTGTCTTCTGTTCCCCTGACATCTCTTTCAGCCTCTGTCCTGGCAGCAGCCCTATGTTCCTGTCTTGGCTCGAGGAATGCTGGACTTTCTCATGGCTCCTACAGCCTTCATGATGGGCTGTCACATCAGTCATTTTGAAGAGGTGGCTGCAGTGAGTACCCCCGTTCACTATAGACTTTGTGTCTTATCAGCATCAAAGATTATGTTTTGTGATTTTGGCTTAAGTTAATATCCAAATAGAGGCCATATTATGATTATGATATAATCTTTTGTTTTTTATTGGATGGAAAAGATTGTTTTACATGTAATATTCTGAACCAGCGTAATTACTAGATAAACAAATATTGCTACAGCTCTGCACTTGTCTTGGCCATTTCCCAGAGAGAGAAAAGCTCATGGCCACATAGTTAACACCAGATTTATCATAAGGTTTGTTTAAATTGCTGGTGTATAATTCAAATGGCTTTTTGTAATTATCTTGATTGACATACTCACATAAAATATTTAACAATAACTTTTATGCTCCACTGCATTCATCTTTATTCAGTGTCTTACAGAAGCTTAGTTCACATATTTAACAGTAGCTGTCTGTGAGTGTAACAGAGCAGGGCACAGTCAGACTGTGTTGTAAATGAATTGTGTGTGTGTGTGTGTGTGTGTGTAGGAGACAGAGGAACTAATCTTGGTGAATATTGATGATGGCATCATTCAGTCGTCATGGTCTGAATCCATTGACCTTCCAGCTATCCCTCAGGCTGCAGCTGAGAGCTTTTTGTCAAGGTAACGCCCATACACCACTGTAAAAGTACACAGTTGGCTGTAAATTCTGGTGGTTAATTTTTTGTTTTATTTAAGTGATAGTGTAAAATAAAACCATCAAATACATTGGTTGCCAGGAACACTGTGCCTAGCAGTGTACTGCCATTCTAATGTGCAGAATTTATGTTTATACTAGAAATCATTTTGGTGCCACAACCGGTAGCAGAGCCTCAGCTTGTATCAAACTGGAACAGACTTTAAACTAAATTGAAATATTCCACCAGAATACCTGCTAAATCAAATTGCAAAGGGAACACAGTTTCAATGATGTAATTAAATAAAGGTCCTGTTAGTCCATTCTTGGAGTCTGTGTGTTTAAGGGCAGAGTGTCTCCAGCTTCACTATGACTTGGAGCTGTGTCACCTCGGAGCGGGAACTGATGTCAATACCCTGCGATGCCAACGCAGAGGCTGGCAGACACGTCTCAACACGCAGATACAGAATATTGCCCTGGAACTTGTCGTCAACCTCTTTAGGTAAGTGCGTGTGTGTGTTGCACATAAAGCTCTTTTTTCACAAATACTTGTGATGCTAGGAAACTGGGATGAACAATTAATCAAAATATTATATATCATTATAAATGTGACATTGTGGTACCCCAGCTTACAAATCATATTTTCCAGACATAAGGGAACATTCTTGTTTGGTACAGACCCGAGTAAAGATCACATTATCATCATTTTTATATTTTTTCAGTGAAGATGAAGAAATGGTGACTCATTTTGCAATATCTGAAAATAATGGCAATATGATTTATTTATTTATTTGGCATATCATTCAAAGCCATCCTAGGAAATAAAGTGATCAGTAGGTATAACACCCTGAGATATGAGACAAATTTAAACATGATAAGGCAACCAATTCTCTTTGTTTCTGTACGTCTTGTCATTTTACATCACTTTGTCAGAGGCGTCCAGGACTTTCTGAATCATGAACACAGAGTTTTTAACAGTGAGGAGTTTCTCAGGACCAGGGAGCCAGCAGACCAGTCCTTTTACCAGAAGGTACACTCGCATTTACATGCACAGACATACGCAATAGCACACACACGGACTCTAACAATCTGCGCTGCATGTTTTTCTTGGTGTCCCCAGGTATTAGAAACTCACATCTTCCACTCATTCTTGCGAGACAGGCTGAACAGGAAACGGGACACCTTCACCCGCATGGAGCAGAACACACGTAGCCATGCACACAGGTATTATTGCTGGTATGAGGGGATTTAAAAAAAAAAAAAAAGTGCAAGCTAAGTGAGATTTCTCACCTCACAACATTTCGGCAGAGAGCTGTGGTAGCCTCTACAGCAGGTAGGTTTTCACTGTATTGGACTCAGTATACAGTATGTAACAATCATTTAATCAGGGCATCTCTTTTAGATCAAGATGTCTGTTGTGAGAGAGACCTGAGTACAGAAAGAAAACTAACATAGCCAGACAAACTTCAGTGCATACCATACAAAGAATGCTTGTTGGAATGAGTGCTTGTTGGAAGGCCAAACACCTTTTGGAAACCCCCTGCTTTTACACTTTTCCAGCTCGGGTTTTGGGTGTCCAAACATTTCTGTAACTCTCCAAAATGAACAATCTGGCATTCACACTTCTTAGAGCGATTGGCCAGCTGTGCGGTGGTGAGGTGGGAGTCCGGGTTTAAAATTCGTTCTCAAGCTCTCCTTTTTCACTTGTTACACAGCAATTTCTATGTTAGTGTGAAGTGCAGCACGGTGAATGCCTTTAAGGAGAGACTGTGAGTAAAGTGTAACAAAGTTGGACAACACGGCGTGCAGACCACATCTTTTCTAGCATAACCCGGTCCTTAGCCTTCCACTGATTCCAGGGCTGCCCCAAAGTTGTTGTACTTTATTAATTAATAAAGAATATTAACATTAACAGAAAATTGACTGTGTTGATAAGTTTTTTTTTAGTCACTTTTTCAGCAAAATTGTCAGACATTTGCTGATTAACGCTTCTCAAATGTGAGATTTAGCCCCTTTTTCTTTACCTTTTTACATTCACATTTACTCATTTAGCTGACGCTTTTATCCAAAGCGACTTAGAATTGCTATCTATGTCAGAGGCACGCCTCTGGGATGCATTAGCGGATGTGTCAATGTGGGGGATATTTTTCGGTTTTAAAACAAGCAATTGCAACACATCTTTTATTCGCCTAGTAATTATTTGATTGTTCTAGAAAATAATTGGCAGATTAATGGATAATGAAAATAATAGGTTGCATCCTTAAAACCAGAAAAAAACACAACTTTCATTTAAATTTTGTACATTTCCATCTGTGTGTGTGCTGAGAAGGCCAAAAATGCACGCAGTGTAGGAGAAAGAATGAAACACTATCAAAAAGGGAGAAAGGTGATAAAGACACCTGTGAAATAACTTGTTTCCTTGACGTGTTTGTAAATAGACAAATAGTCATATAGGTTTATTGCATAGCATGAAACTTAGATTGCCTGAAGGTGATATAAACATCGACAAAGATCATAATTAAACCTGCTGTTACGGATGTCTTCCCCCCTTGTCAGCATCTGTCTCCTCATTGTCTTTCTACAGGTTTCGTGCGATGACAGAGTCTCCTCGGCGTCCTCCCATGTCTGAACTGTCCAGGACTGGCTACAGTAGCTGCACCAACCCTAATGACAGACTGAGCAAGAGGCTGGGAGCCAGCCTGCCTAACCTGGATCAACCTGCCAACTACACTACGACTGCCATCAGCTCCAACAGATCAGCCTCTCTCAGGAAGATGACTCCTGATATTGGTCAGTACTGATGGAAGAAAGGGGATTAGTGGATTTTGTAAGGAAATCAATCAAGAATTGAACTGTTTTTGATTTCCTCTGTGTCCTTCCAGGGTTGAAGTTTCCTCAGAGGGAAGTGAAGGTTTTCCACCTCCCAGATTTCCCCCCTCCGCTGGCCTATCAGTATGTCCAGAACTATTATTCAAACATGGTTGCTTCCCTGGGGAGGGCTATTAACATGACACCACCCGAAGAGTCTGCCCTGCTGGCCAGGTACTGTAAGAAGAAGAAACCGAGAGAGAGAGAGAGAGAGTGGAGAAAATGTTCTTGTACAAGGAAGTTGGGTTTATAATGTTGTATGTCAAATATTTAATATCTGGGCGGTGTTTGATCTTTAAAACGCTTTTTTTAAATCAAGAAATGTTGCTACAGCATGTTAGTATTTCTGGCACAGTAGAAGATTAATAGAGTTGTGCTCTGATCAGTTTATTTGTGTATGATAGTCTCACTCAGATTCATTTAAAGTTAGACTTCCTGAACCATGATCTGTAGACAATGACTCAAACACTAAACAGAAAAGACATTTTTAAAATAATGTAAATAAAGGATGTAAAATAAAAAGTATCTCGCAGGATTTGCTCTTTTCAGTGTGCTCATGTTTGTTTAAGCTTCTGTTTAAACTGCAAATCTGTGATGGTAAATCAACTCAGCTTTTCTATCAGATTTCCTGCTGAGTCTTCAATCAATTTAACGTTCATACTGTCATGACTGATTGTATCATTTTGTTCTTTTGATAACTTCACTGGGCTACGTTTGACAAAATAACCTATGGATGTTTTTGGAATACGTCATTGACCCAGATCAAGTAAACCAACTGAACTTTAGACAACTAAAAGACCCACTCCATCTGTCTGTCTCTCTAGGTACCACTACCTGCGTGGTTTGGTGAACACGGTGTCCAACAGACGTCTGGATGCACTGGAGGACTTCCAGAGTCTTTATAAGACTGACTCAGATATCTTCCCTTCTCAGATGGTTAAGACACTGGTTGACTCTCTGCCAGAAGCTGAGCGGTTACAGGTCAGTCCATCATGAATGAGGACACTTTGTTGTAGTGTGTGTCTGATATATTGGTCACATGGGGGTTTAAATAACCAAACATCCTCATCACCTACCTGTTCTATCTATATCTAACTATCATGTGACAAAGAAACACAGTTAACGCAAGACAAAGTACTAGATAGCTCGGTTCATTATCTCTGAGCTGCATCAGAACGGTGATGATAATTCTGATAATTAAAGCCATATTGATTAGCCATATTGATTAGCACTGTATTGATCATCAATTTTCTCCAAAGGCGCACAAACGGCCAGAACTGAAGCGGCTCATCAGCCGGGTCAAGAGGGACCAGGAACGGGAGCTCGCGCGCCACAGCAACGGGCAAGAGGAAGGTGCCGTGAAGCGCTTCCAGCTGCCGAAAAAATACATGCAGCTGGAGGAGTTTGTGAAATGTATCCAAGAGTCCGGCATCGCAAAAGACCAAGGAACCATACATAGACTCTTTGATGCTCTAACTCTAGGTAAGTTGTTTAGCACACTGCACATGCATACGTATAATACATTTGTGTTTGTGTAATATCCATACAGCTTGGGACTCCCCCCATCCCCCCCCCCCCCCCCCCCCCCCCGATTGAACAGGCTGCCCCGTAGAACTCTTCTCACAAACTCGCGCTGGACTTCCACTGCCTCAGCATACACACACACACACACACACACACACTCATGCAAACAAATATCCCGCTATACCCCTCCTCCTCTCCTTTTCCTGGCAAACATTTATTCCTTGGGTTAATCATTACCTCACCCCTTCTTGAAGAAGCACAGCTTGTCATGCAATGCTGTTTGGTGTTGTAGGTGTAACCAGTGCTCCAGTGGTTATGTACTGGCCTTTGGCTGGTGGCTAATGGCTAATGTAACAGTACACATCATGATCATAGCTACATACATACCCCTTTAATGTCCCATGGGTCCATCCATTCTTTTACGTAACCATTCTTCCACCACTGGCATTACATTTATTTACATTTTGGAGGACGCCCTCGCACTGAGCAGAATTTGGCAGCCAGTAGCAAGTTGCACCAGCCAGTGTGACAACATTCCTGTGATCTCAGATTGAACATGTAAACGGGAAGGCGAGAAAAATATATTTAATTCAGCGCCATTAATGAGTAATGATGAGGGATATTTGTTTTTGATTTAAGATCAGAGGAAGGGGAGGAACTGTAGCTCACCCTCTCCCAACTCCCCCTCCAGCTCCAAAATAAAAAAAAAAGTTTAAACGAAAACTGAGTACAGGAAATATATTCTCTGCAAGCTTGAGAGCTTATCTTGGCCTCCACATCATGTTATTGGAAAGAGGCATTTACATCCTGTTTGAAATTTTGAGCAAGTCAAGTTTTCCTTTCCTCTTCTGACCTCCACTGGAGAAAGAGTTTCAGACTAAGATTGGACGCCTGGTTTCCGCTAATCAAAACTACAATGATCAGCTCAAAAAATCCAACTGTAGAGTACTTGACTTCAATTTCACTTAAGTAATTCATTGTGGTGGAAATAGTTTTAGTAGCACAGAGGTAAAGCTGAGATTTTGTCCTTTTGTGGTTATTTGACATTACAATAACTCTTTTTTTCTGATCATTCTTCATTTCTTGGAGGCTTTATATACACCTACTCCTACACAATGAGATCAAATACATTAAATATATACTGTAAAGTAAAAATACAAATATTCTTTTAAATTGTGACTTTACTATTGCCGTGCCTGTATGCAATGTGTTTTGGGTGTGGGGGAGGGCACAGACTCTGCACTGTATGAAGTCATTGTTGTAATACAGTAAGGACGACAACCCCCTAACCGCAGGAATGCTTGCAGATTAGACTGCTTGGAGTGAGATGGCCCACTCTGCTACCAGATGTTTTGTGGGAGAGAGAGAGTATGAACTGAGCATTTCTATAAAGGTTGCTCAGTCAGCCGTTTGTTGGGTAAATGAAGATTAAAGTATAGTTTTAAACTCAGTGTCACAAGTCATCTGGCTCTGCTGACACGGAGTAATACAGTATACCCGCAAATTATCCTCATTTGGAAAATGTGTGTTTATTTGTTGAAGGTCATCAGAAGCAGGTTGATCCAGATTTGTTCAGAGTCTTCTACACCATCTGGAAGGAGACTGAGGCCGAGGCGCAGGAGGTGTGTATGTTTGTTTTGCTGGTAGGGCCAGAGGAACATACAGTGTTGGCCACATCCACTGCAGTCATACTCACATTCGCAATACTTCACAGCACTTCACAGCACTGCGTGAAGCAAATGGTGGTCACACCAGATACTGAGAAGTGCTAGCTGACACAGATTTTGACAGATTTGTGAGCAATATTTGAGAGAAATAGGCCTTTTGTGTACATGGAGAAAGTTGGGTTCAGCTCATGATGAATGGGGGGAAAAAACAAAAGTGTTCCTTTAATAATTTTGTTCAGTGTATTTATATTGGGGGAGAAAATCTTTTCTTTTTTTTCTTTTTTTTTTTTTTAAAGAAAAGATAATGTGGTCGGTCAGTAGAAAAAATTTAAATAAGATTGCTATATGAGTAAACTAAATTGTTATTAAGAGTTAAGAGGGAACATTTACAATGAACAAGGCTTTTTCTGTAATTGATAACACCAATTAATTTTGTGACCTTAACTGCAAACTTTTCCAAAAGTTTTTCACCAAATAAAACACATAAAGATAGCAAACAGTTGGACAATATTCAAAACAGGTTCTAGTAAATGTATTATTTTTTACATCCTCTAAAATCAAGGCCAATAATGACCCATGTTTTTTGAAAATGTTTTTCCTTGACCACATGTCAGTGAAATCAGCAGGCTATGTGATTTTCAGGTATGCTTGCCGCCGTCTGTCTTGGATCACATTGATCCCAGCGAGTGCGTCTTCAAGCTGTCCTCCTCTGTCAAGACGAGCCGCGGCGTGGGGAAGATCGCCATGACTCAGCGACGGCTCTTCTTGCTGACCGATGGGCGACCGGGATACGTGGAGGTGGCACAGTACCGAGACTTGGAGGTGAGACAAAAGGAAGGGCAAGAAACCTTTTAAAATGGGATTAAAGTTGTGAGGAGAGGAGTTAAAGAATCAGGACTAGAAGCTAGAAAAATGCCATCAGAACACCAGAGGTTCAGTCTAAGTATGTTGATCCTGCAGTGTGAACTAGATCCTGTCTTAATCTCTTTTCATGCAGGAGGTGAAAGTATCCTCGGCTCCCTTCCTGCTCCTGCGGATCCCCAGCCTGAAGCTCCGTGTTCGGGGCAGGAAGGAGGCGTTCGAGGCCAATTTGAAGACGGAGACTGAGCTGTGGAACCTGATGGTCAAAGAGATGTGGGCCGGGCGCAACATAGCTGACCAACACAAGGTAAACCTGTAACTAAAGGGTGTGTGTTGCCAGTATAAGGGGATATAGACTGATAAATGAATGAGAAAGCAAGATCCTTTGGTTAGTTATCATGTGCCTTTATTACTCATATTGTCTTTATCTAGGTATCAATTACTGTGTGTGTGTGTGTGTGTGTGTCTGTGTGCATGCCAGTCATTTTAAACTTGATTGACCTTTGTAGGTGTGGTTTATACTCCATGAGGCATGTATGAAAATAAATACGACACTTGAACAGCAACAGAGGGTTTCCTTAGTGAAACCAGATGATGTAACTGTAACATTTCCGTCTCTCACTCCTCTCATTTCTCTCTTTTATATTTCCTGTACTCCGGTGTATTATGAATGTACACTTAACATCCAGCTTGTCTGACAAGCAGCAGTATTGTCAAGATATCTGGTAGCATCGCGCCAATGTTTAAACCAAATTATGTAAACATTATTATAAATGAATCGCTGCTGTCTTACTTTCTATTGTAACACTGCTTCTTATTGCAAGACCCTCAAATAACGTATTATGCTTTTACTAAAGTGTTTACATTTATTATTGAATCTGGATCACTATTCACACCCTAAAATCAATTTTAACATTAACTTTTAATCTCAATGGCCGCATGTCTTTGACTTTAAAAGGGTTTTTTCCCCCTCCTTCTTTTTCATACATTTTTTGTGAGGTACTTGTTCTGTCGACTTGCTTGCATTGTACTACATGTCGAGCTTTGTAAATGGATCTTTGTCTCCAGGATCCCCAGTACATGCAGCAGGCTCTGACCAATGCCTTGTTGATGGACGCAGTAGTGGGCAGCCTTCAGAGCAGTAAGGCCATCTATGCTGCTTCGAAGCTGGGTCACTTTGACCGCATCAAGATGGAAGGTAGAGGAAGATGGTGGTGATAACGATTGTTGTTGTAGAGTTTTTCCTGTTTGCTTTTATTAACCATTCAAGACACTATGAAGTGCACCCCATTTTGTCAACATGGAAGGCAGTATTAATCCAATTTGCTTTGATTCACTTTGATTGCTTCCCTGGAACACAGAGAAACTAATGTAGGCTGTGGAGATTAATGACTTGGTTTCAGTTCAAATTTGCATATTAAAGAGACTCTGTTAAGAGAGAAAGAAACTTTGCATTCCTTAGTACATAATGACTCATCAGATGTTTTGTGGAAATTATTGCTGTTTGGGTTTTTTCAGTGGTTGTTTGTGAGTTCACCACCTGTGGATGGTTAGTTGCCTCTCTGTAACAGTGGTTTGTGTGTCTCCAGTGCCGATGATGGTTCCCAAGACGACCGCGGAGACGCTGAAGCACAAAATTAACCCCTCGCTGGAACTTGCTGCACCTCAGGCTGTGGATGTCCTTCTATACACACCAGGTACAAACACACACACAAACACACATATTTCTCCTGTAACCAAGCAAGTCCCTTCAGTGTTCATATTGTCACTGAGATGACTGAGATGAGTAGAAGTGTCAGGTTTCTATCTTTCTTTCTCTCAGGGCAGTTTCACAATCCAAAGTTTCAACTGTGACACCGGCACGCTGACCATATACACTGATTGACAAATACACACACAACCTTTGCCTTTGTTATGTCCTTGCTAAGACTAACTCGCTGTGTGTCACTCAAACATAAAAAGGACGGACCGCACATGACTTTTCTCAACAACACTTCCTCCTCCGTAGAAATACATACAGCCTCTTCTCAAGGCTAAATTGTCCTATATAAATACACAATTTAGTCTTTCCAACTAAATCATGTGAATGCACAGAATAGGGCAGATAATCCAATTTCAAATACGGCAATAGTAAACATGTCAACATCAGGTGTGACACTGTCCCTCTCAGAGCAAAACAGTAATGAAAAGTTGACTTTGCTGAACCTCTACCAGAAAGTAAAGCAAGAAGCAGCTCACCTAAAATGTACTCATAGTCAAAGTAGCTGGACTTCGCATTGAGCTGTGGGTATATGAGAATGATTATCCCGCATTACAGAGTTCAACTTAAGTTAATTTAATGTGGGAGGATTGGGAGTGACAGTACTTCTGTTTAATAGTTTTTTAAGCCATGCTGATGAAGCATACAATATTTTCGTATTTAATGGATTTAATTTGTCTTAATTGATAGATATCAAGGGTGACATGCAATAAAAGGTCCCTAGCTGGAGATGAACTGGAGACATGTTCATGCTGTTCCTGGTCAGCACCTTACAAAGACCCTTTTTGTATCACCCATCAGGAAACCCCAGTGATCACACTTGACCTTTGATGTTTACTGTTGTTCAGCCTTTGTATACAGTTCTGTGATTTTACTATTGGGGGCAGACAGACTGGCGCATTACATGGCAGGAAGAACAACTTAAAAAGAACTATAAAGCCGTGGCCTTCAGTGGAACGACCATATGGGGCCACTTAGATGCCCGGCTGGTGGCAGACTGACCCACAGCACTAACATATTCATGCATACTCATTCTTAGTGATGCCTCATATACAGACTCTGGTCAGACCATAGCTGTCAGCTCTTCAGGATATTTGTTGGTGGAAAAAAAACTCCTCCTTCCCTGCCTCTCTCTGACTCTCTGGTTTGAATATAGGTCACTGAATTGAATTTCTGGCATATGGCCAGTTCACTCCTACTCCCCCCCCCCCCCCCCCCCCTCTCCTTGTCTCCTCCCCACTCCCTCTCTATTTCTCTCACTTTTTTCATCCAGCTTCCCCCCAGCTCTTTCCTTCCCCTGTATGTCCCACTGTGTTTTCCACCAGCGGTACTTTTTAAATAGCAACAAATATGTTGGAGGAAACTGAGCGTTAGATGAAGCCTGGGTGCGGCAGAGAAATAGTTTCAAACATGAAGTGTTTCCATTCAAACTGTTGGTTGATATTCACATTTCTTCTTGGCATCCTGAAAGAGTAAACACAGTTGTTGACACTCACAAGTTTGCGATAAGGTATTGAGAAATAACTGATAAATACTATGTCTGTGTATGTGTTTCAGGTCAGTTATGGGTGTCTGTGAGAGGGGGGAAGGTGATGGTGTTTGATGCCTCCAGCTGGTCCCTCACACACACTTGTCACGTTGGGAATGCACAACTGGTAATGAAAACGCACACACTAACACACCAGCTCAAATGCATGCCAAAACACAATGCAAACAAAAACACATAGATGCAGGAAGACACGTGAAAAGACACAGAAGACAGGCAGATATGAAGTTGTTTATGGTTGGTTCCGGATATTGAAATTTACAAAATGTGTGCACCAAAACAGAGCTAAAAGGAAAGTGAATGCTGGACACAACTTCACATGAATGCTAATGTTGCTGCGTATTTGGTGGATATGTAAAACAGCCTACTGTTTGCTAAGATGTTAGCTATATCAACTTAAAAATGTTATTAAGATAAAGGGGTTATCAATGTTGTGTTTACAGTTTAAATCTGCTGCCCCCAAGTGACCAAAACATATTATTGGCTGTTTTAACCGTGTCTGTTTCATTTAATGGTCGTAATCAAATTATCGTATTTTCCATGGAGCGTAGTTGACAGTGTCTATGGAAGAGTCGACTACAGGCAATTTCCTTGAACTCGAAAAAACATTAAGTGTCTCTGTCTCACTTTCTCTCAAAAAGGCTTAAAACGTGGGCAATACCAGAGTATGTAAGTATGGTCCACCAAAGCTGATCCACACTCTCTCCAACAAGCGTCTTGGATCCTAGTTCATTAAAATTTCTGGCCAGGAGTTATGACAAAACCGAATCAGATTTTTTTTTGTTTTTACAAAATCTCTCCAAGCTAGTGAATTGGTAGAAGTTAAGACAATCAAGCATATGTTGCTCACAATAAGATATTGAAAACAGTAATGTTAGCCAATGTTCTAATTGTGTAGTGAACACGATGTTTTGGTAGTTCTTTCATCACCAAATAAAAAACATGTTTGACTACATCACATCACTGGACAGAATCAGCAGACGAACAGCACATGTACACTGCCACTAACTCAGATACAGATAAACAGTAAAACCTTTTTGCTCCTGTTGCTTCACTTCAAAGTCAATATTACCTTCAGAATTGCAAGCACATGTTCTAGAGAGTGTACAGTGTGATCTCAACATCTTTCATTACCCATAGACCAAGATATGGTCTGTGCAAACATCGACTTCCATAACAAAATATAAACAAGTGAAAGTTAGCAGGAGTGCCTTAAATGTCCATGGAGAATGTTCACGGTAAACGAGGTTAAGGATGTGTGTAAAGTTTTAAGGCACTTATTAGGACTGTGCAAATCACTGACCTACTCAAAGTGTGTCAGTCACATAAAATATTTTGTCTATGTTAAGCAGTGTGTGTATGAGAGAAAGAGACGCGCACAGTGTTTTTTCTACACTCAACTATAATATTTGCACACAGTTCACAGGTCATGTATGAAATATCTGGACCTGCCCTTCTAAATTAGTTTCTTGTAGCATGACAGAGGATTAAAACAGCTACTGATTAGAAAATTACATTTTGGGGAAAAGCTAATAATTATTTTTAAATCTGTGGGATTTTTTTAAAAAGTTGTGGCTGACAACACCTGCCACCAAATACATTTCCCTGCAAATTTTATGTTGGTTAAGTTTGTGTTATGTTGAATATATATTAGATATAATGGTGTTGTGAGGACAGTGTGTTTTGCAGCTGTTTATTACAGTGATTCCCAACCAAGGGGTACTTCTGTAGTTACCAGGGGGTACATGGGAACATCGTAAAGCTCAGCTAATTAAAAAAAAATAGAAATTATTATTTGATAATATATATCCACATATTTGTGTTTAGGTTAAAACTGAACACGCAAGTATGATTACAAATATGTGTGATGCTGATCTTTACAGCTATTGCCACAATAACTTACCAACTATGGTAGTCTGCACAAGACAGCAGAAAGGTTATTTAGGGAAAAAGACAACAAAAAGCTAAACGTAAAGACGTTGTAACTGGGTGAAACATGCAGTTTTGGTCACTCCAAATGCTGTAGTACAACTGCAAACTACTAAAAAATAGCATTGAACAACAACATTAAGTGGGACAAAAAGGTCAGAATCGCTGGTTTATTAGACAATGTTACCACCTAGTGGAGAAGTTATGTAACAATAAATTTCCTCCCACACCATTCTCAATAGTTCATGTTTAACCCAAGCTCAAAATAATGCTCATTATCCTTATCCTAGTCTACATACCCGCTACACGCCAGGTACTAGGAACAGAACTACTGTAGATAAAAACCAACTATATTTATATAAGGGCTGCACTTACATGTAATTTGATTATTTTCTATGTTAATCAGTGAATCATTTGATCCATTAAATGTCAGAAAAATGTGAAAAAAAAAAAAGAAAGAAAAGGAAGTCAGACATTAGCGTGTATGTGTTTCCCCATGTTGCATTGCAGTTACCACTGTCGCTGGAGAAAAATGAGAAGTCCAAGGTGTTGTCTTCACATTTTTGTTTTGTCCGACCAGCAGTCCAAATCCAAAAAGTAATATAAGACAAAGAAAAGCAGCAAGTCCTCACAGTTTTATTAGCTGGAACCAGCAAATGTTTTCCATTCTTTTTGCTGGAAGAATAACTTTTTGGCAATCAGTCGATTATCAAAATAGTTAAATAATACAACTTCTGTAAATTGTCCCAGCTCTACTTTTTATTTACCTGCAGCGAGAAATCTACTGTATGAAGCCCTGCGTAAATAAGTAGCGATTCGATTTATTACATCATTAATTTAATAATATAATATAATAAATTAATCATTTACCTTGTTCTAAAGGGAACTCGTGTCATTGATGTAAAATTTATGTAGCTGAAAATACTAGAGCAAGTATGTATGCTACATTTAAGCTCTTATGTAGCCCCCTCTTAACAGCCTCTCTGTGGAAAGCCGTGATGGCAATAGTTCTGTCCTTTCCTGATTAAAAGGTCAAAATTATAAACTGGAGCCAGGTCAAGGTGCCGTAAACTTTATCTATAAGATCTTAAAATCTGTCTCTCTGTTTGCAGAACTGTATGCTGGCAGTTGATAAGGACCAGGTCTGGATGGGCTCTGAGGACTCCGTTATCTACATCATCAGCATGGTGGCCATGGTCTGTAACAGACAGCTAACTGAACACAGGGCGGAGGTCACCGGACTGGCACTTGACACAGACAAATACAGGTAATATACACACACGTTTTTAAGCCCGTAAAATCGACTGACGGCGTTTGTGGTTTTATATGATTTAAAAGCTGTTTTGAAATCTATAACTGTGTTGTAACTTCACACTTATGCAATATTGTTTCTGGGCTTTCATGCCAGTAAATTTAAATAGATTTAGTGACAGTCAGCTTCTGTCCCTGTGATGGATGTACATGTAAATCAATTCTGGATCAGAGTGACTGCGTAAAAAAGAATAATCTCACCAATGTGTCTTGTTTTTTAGCCAGAAGGTGGCGTACTCCTGCAGTGCAGAGGGAACTGTCATGGTGTGGGACGTCCCGACACTGCAGGTCAGTTTCAAACAAACACTTTGTTAGACTGGGGGGCGGTGTAAACTATATTATTACTGGTTAATTTTCTTGTCAAGTTCTAAATAAAACAGCATGCTAAATGTTACAATGCCATAAAATAATCTTGTGTTGGTAGTTTACAGGTTTAGAACTGATTTGGTTCGGTTTGTCAGATGAACACACTGTCAGATCAACTCCTACTGACTCTCCTGGTTACTTCCAGTTATTTTCCATGTTTAAACCACAATTTGCAGATGAATTTCTTATAATTGTGATTTTTGTGTCAAACCACTCAGGTGAAGAGGCACTTTCGCCTCTCCTGCGACCGCCTGCAGTCTATCTCCAGCTGTAACGGAGTGCTGTGGTGCTGTAAGTTTCACGTTTGAGCATTAAAAACAGGAAACTTGATGATGGACTTGATGGAAATGGAATAAATTCTCTTTCTGTTTTTCTCTCCAGGCTCCAGGGACAGTATAATGGAGGTGTGGAGGAACGGCACAGTGAAACATCAGCTGAACCTGCCAGAGCAACAAAAAGGATCTGCAGCTACATTCAGCTCTGTGCTGCTCCTCCTTGAGGTACCACACACACACACACACACACACACACACACACACACACACACACACACACACACACACACACACACACACACACACACAGAGAGACAGACACCTTATATCTCTGTGGTATCTTGGTGTGTTTTGTTTTGCATTGTATTTGAGTATGACCCTTCATCTTCGATGTGTGTGTGTGTGTGTATCAGAGGGCTGAGCTGTGGAGTGTTTGTGTGGACTCAGGAGAAGTGTGTATTTGGCACATTAAGGACACCAGCAAACCGTTTCACCGCGTGACTCTACAGGACTGCACCAGATGTTACTGCATGATCAAAGTTAAAAACCAGGTTAATATACAGTACACCTGCATAAAACACTTTAAAATCACCTGCAAATTCTGGCAGTGATGTGATATAAAACAGCATTACCTTTCTTTCCTCTCCAGGTGTGGGTTGGCGGTGTTGGCCGCAGCGCTACCAAAGGGAAGATTTACATCCTGGATGCAGAACGGTACCAGGTCCTGAAGGAGCTTCAGGGCCACAGCGACAAGGTGACTGCGCTCTGCTCCGCTGAGGATCGGTACATCCTCAGTGGAGCTGGCAAACACGACGGAAAGATCGCCATCTGGAAGGTGGAGTAGAGCGGTTGACTGTCTGGAAGTGGACAAATCTTCAAAGTTAGAGCCTGAGTTCTTCATGCCCTCACTCTTAAAACAGTTCTGACTTCCTGTGAACTGACCCCAGGTGGAGAATCTGTGGGAAAAGCATTTGTGTTTGCAAAGGGAGGGGGATAGAAATCACAACCTCAACTTGCCTGGTGCCTTTTGCACGTCAAACATATGAAGGAATCACGTGTGATGTATCATGTGACGCACAAGTTTACATAAAGTGTCACCAGCTGAGCAGCTTCTCCTGCCTGCTATGAAGTGGTGATTTGAAATACTAACAGTACTAAAGTTTTATTTTTGTTGTTTTTTTGGGTGCATATGAAGGACAAGACTGGAAAAAGTTGGCGCAGGTTCTGCTGGATCGTTTTTATTAATCCAAAGTGCTTCACTTTACTGAAGGTTTATACATTTTTATTTTTGTTTGTACCAAATCCTTATTTAATGCTGTGTTTTATATTACATTAGGTTACACTAATATCATGTGGGAACATTGTGTGACTGAGCCTCGCCTCCAACTGAGTTTTTGACGTGAGTTTTTGCAGCTCAAAGGAGTCAAACTACCCTGAAAACACAACTCCTGAGATTGGAGATTTCACTATCCCTGTGGGAAAAAGCCCTGAAAAATAGTTCATTTTGATGGAAGTTATGCTCTGACAGACGATGTACAGTGAAGAGTGACGGGGAATGGGAATGAAAGGTGATACAAACTTGGAAGCTTTAGTCCTGCAACAACTGGAATCTGCTAAAAACACACGAAATAAGGACTAACCATCACGTGGTTTTGCTCTTGTTGTGCTTCTTGATCAAATACTTACCTCATTGTTAGACAAAGTTTCTACTTTTTTTCCCCCCCTCTATTTATTTCCCTATAAGATTAGTTGTATCTGTTACCAGTTAGTCAGTTTGAAGTGAAGGCATAATATTTTTCCACACACTGACAGAATGTGTGAAAGTCCTACTCATTAAAAAAAGCAACCACTTCCTGGCTTATAATTTATCATTTTAATTCAAAAGACTGGGTTGGAAATTAAATCTCGTATATAAAAATATATAAACTGTAGGCATTTGTGTTCTGATTGTTTTATATGGATTGCTAACAAGTTATTATAATAGTATTAAGTAAGTGAAGGGGACAGACTAAAGTTTTCTTATGTTTCTATCTTTCACAATTTTCCTACAAAAAGTGAAACTGTCTGGGACTCTTGAACAATCAGAATTTAGATGTAGACAAACATTACGTTTTATTTATGTATGTATATTATATACACTGTATGTAACTAGTTAACATGAACATAAAATATATTCCTTTTGTAAACTGACCAACTGACAATGCAACTGTAACTGTTGATGTATTTTGTATCTGCAAGACTGTTAACAAGATTTTCTAATATTTAACCAGCCGTGAGCAAAGCAAATACACCCTTTATAAAAGGAAGTCTTCAGTTTGTCTTTTTGTTGAACCAGAGAATGTTTCAGAACTCTTTATGACAGTGGGACGTGAGAGTCGTGGAGGGGTCGGGAGTAATTTCTGAGATGTTCTAATGAGTTTTTCAGTTTTTATTGTGAAATGTTTACCTCCCTCAAAATGAATTAAATAAAACTGGAAAAACCTCTGGTTGACGTGGTCAGAAACCACAGACATAATGCAACTGGTGAAGATGGGTCACAAGTTTATATTGCCTCACTTTAAGGGATCACAAGCCAAAACGTTTGTGAAATTCTGCTTTGTGCAACGTTTCACAATCGAACAAAGTAATCTTGCAATTTATGTATTTATTATTGTGCCCATTCCAGAAATACATGCTGGATGCAAAAGATTTTCTCCATTTGATGGGAGTTAAAGTTGAACAATTTGTCTGCGCTCCGTAGAATTCACCAGAAGAGGGTGCTGTTTGATACCAAGAGAAATTAAAGTGAGCGCAGGTTTGCTGATGTGAGTTGATGAAAGTTTTGCAGATCAGAACCTGCAATATCAATATATTAGGGCTGCAGCTAATTATTTTATTTATCAGTTAATCTTCCAATTATTTTCTCAGCTCAATGATTAACAGCTTGGTCAATAAAATGTAAAAGAAAATAGTGGAAAATGGTGAAAAATGCCTCTTATAATTCTCAAGAGCTCAAGTTGGCATCTTCAGGGTCCTTGTATTATCTGACTGTCAGTCCAAAACCACCAAATACTCTATTTTATTGATAAATGACAAAGAAAAGTAGCAAATACTCATATTTGATAAGATGGAATAAGAAATTATTTGGTATTTGTGTTTGGACACATCACAAAAACATTGTCAAATGGCTAAATCAGTCAGTTGGCTCAATTATGAATTGACTAATTGTTTCAACTCTATGTTTTAAAGCTAACACCACAGCATACATCAGAAGCTATCTGACTCATGCTTCCTCTGCATGGGCTGCAGTGTGGTCGAGTGATAAGAAGGATACAACATAAAGCTAGAGAAGACTGGGTCCACCCAGCTCAGGAGTTCCTGAATCCCTGCAGGGCTGCTGCTCTGTGAATGACCTCTGACCTCCTTGTGGAGCCGGTTTAGGTGTTCTTACATCAAAGCCCCAGTGAAACTCCTGCTTAGTCCTCTGTTACGCTGGAAGATAAGTTGTTTTCTGTCTTCCGCAGCTCTTAATCAGTTTCCTTTAATCCTATAAACGTTTACTTACGCAAAGCAACAGCTAGGTTTAAGAGCTGTTTGTTCACGCCAATCGCGTGTTCTATTTGTGACTTTTTGTAGTTGCAGAAAAAAGAACAAAACATAAGCCATGCCATGAAAACACCAAAATCAACAGCTGTCATCACATTTTAATTCAAAAGAAACACATGACAACTTCCCACCAACTTAACTGTGACTGAATACACTTTTCTTAAAAGGCTTAGTAATTTATTAAAACAGCGGGGTAGCAAACATTATTCAAACAGGACTTAATAAAGCGTGTGTCGGGAACTTTTTTTGATTAACATTTGGTTCTTTAGTGGGTATTTACAACAGTGCAATGATGTATGGATGAATTAAACAATGCTCATGGTGATTAAAAAAAAACCCTGCATTTATGCACTTTCTTCATTGGGATTCCTTGACAATTGTACAAAGGGTTACTGCAGACAACATTTTATTTTTAAAGTTTAAAGTTTTGTGTTCATACAGGCTGTGACCAAAAATGGGCAAAATGCAGCTTGTTACAAACTACAAAATATCTCTCAAATAAATGTCACAAAATAAAACAGAATACTGCTGCCAGAAAATGTATCAGGATAAAATATATGGGTTTTGTATTTTCAAAATACAGGAAAATACATTATTCTTTTATAACTTGTACACCTTGTTTATACCTTGTTGATATATTTTTACATATATAAACATACCTTGTACCTGTACAAACTACAACAACAAACTTCATACAGAGCAGGTCGAGACAATACTCATTATTTTGTAACGTTATTTATAGAGACCCAACAAATCCCACCATGAGCAAGCACTTGGCGACAGCACCAAGGAAAAACTAACTTGTAACAGGTAGAAACCTTGAACAGAACCTGGACTCGGGGTTGCCGGCCATCTGCCTCAACCCCCTATGAAACCCTATGGTGTATGTGCAGTCCAACCATATGTAAGGTTTTGACCTATTCCACCCTGTCAAACACAAATTACAATGTATTATTGTTATGACATCAATCCGAACTTTAACATAGATGATGATTTTAGATGTTTTAAATCTGCTTCCTTGAGTCTAGAAAAGCAGCTGTGTTCAGGTTCTAGTTCAGTCAACCTCAGCTGACTGACACTGAATGTACAAAATTAGTTATTTTCACCACATCTGAAAACAGTCCTTGCTGTCACTCCTCACATCACCCATTTCTTCTGTCTTTTCACGTTTCTGTCTGTGGTTTGGTATCGGTTCAAATGACTCTTTAGAAGCCAAAGCATGTTAGCAATGTGGATGGTCATACGCAGGGAGAGGCAGATCCCTCAGGCATTTTACCCTCAAAAGCAGCTTGGCTTTGCCGTAAAGGTCACGTGGTGTTGCAAATTAAAGCTGTCATATATATAGAAGTAACTAGCAAATTTTTTTTTGTCCTGAGGCCCCTTACAGAGTGTTAATCCTGCTCAGTCTAAATTATGATTTTATGATTTTATCATAGTGAATTCAAAGGCTGAAATAAATAAAGGCAGAAAAAAGAAGGAAAGGTCATGGTTCTAAGCATGTGACTTTGTTTACTGATCTGAAAATAATAATAATAATAATACTAGTTGAAGAACGTGTATTAAGTGTTATCAGAGATGCTCACAAGTCTTTTAGCTAGAGTCCAAGTCAAGTCTCAAGTCACCCGTGGTTATAATGAATGTTGTATCGCCTGCTGCATTCAATACAGGCTGCTTATAACACTGCATAGCTATAAGGAATTCTATAACTGTAACCTATTTTTCAGTTACAGAGCACAACCATGTAATGTGCAGTGCAAATTTACTACTGTAAGTCAACACCCCACACTCTCAAACCCAGTGTAACGTTAACTAAATAAAACTGTCACGTTGCATGATCAACAATAAACCTGTAACCTGTTTTTCACAGAGCACAACCATGTAATGTGCAATGCGAACAATGACATACTCAACATTGTTTTATCAGCTTTAAAATCTCAATTTATGAGAATTGCTTATAAACATTGTTTTAAAACCAAGATGTGTTTTAGACGTCTGCTACAGAAAATTACACATCAGTACTGTTTGGGGTGTCAGAGGGTCCAGCTGTAAAACATGGTTAAACACAATGGATTTTAATATGCTTTATTTCTGAGTGGTGTTGACAGTTTTATCTGCCACTAAATTGTTCTTGGATCAGCGTGTTAGTACGCTGAGAGCAACTAAAGAAACTGAGTCATATGTTACACACACAAGAAGTAAAGCTGATTCTGATTAATGTTGTTTTACTGTTTTTGCATATTTTTATTTATGTACTGTTTTACTCTCAACCAAAGGGAGGGAAAACATCTTCTCATATACACATAATCTCATATCTGTCAGATCCATTAATCCATTAGGATCAAGAGCAGTTTCTTCCTGACTTCTATCAGAGTAGTGATACGTTTGGCCGTGCTTATTACAGTCCAGTGACAGCCACAGCCACTGGATTTTTTTATTTATTTTTGTGTCAGCATTTGATTTATTGATTGTTGAGGATTTCAACAAATATAACAAAATATGCTTCTAAAACAAATTGCCTACCCTAGCTACCCTAGACTTGTAATGTTATATAATTGTTATAAAATTAAAAATACTAAAGCAGATTTGTATTTTCTTACAAACCTGTTGTGCTACATGGGTGTCCTTATGGTATGCTCTGTCTGGACAGGTTGCAGTTGAGCATTTGCACATGGGTTTCTCATGCCTTGCTGCTAACATCTTCACGCTCTGGCCTGCCACTTTTATTATTATTTTTTATACTTGCCTTCTGTGTCTTGAAATGTTACTCAATCGTTGTCAAAAATTTAAAATATGAGAAATCTGAATAGATATATTTGTTTATATTTTCCTTATTTTCTCCTTGTAAATTTAAGAGGGGCAGTCTCTTTTATGTTTCAACTATTTTATTTATATGAATTTGAACCGATTATACAATCCATGTGTCAATGTATTGTACAAAGTATAGCCTAGTTTTTCAAAAATGTAAGCATACTGTAATCCTGAAAGCAACGGAGGATTTGCCACTAGACAGAGCATGCGCTGTTTGATGAGCCTTCTCCTCTTATCCTTTTTCATAGACACAGATGTGGAATAAACCTGCTGTTACCACAAGCCAGACCAGCTTTGGGAGATTCATTTAGACAGGAGACATTTCACAGAGGTCACATTGGTGCCGTGACTTGTCCATATGACAGATGTTTTCTCGCCACTGCGTTGTTTTGGATCTGAGTTTTTCTCTTCAGTGTATCTGACTGTCCAAACACCGGTTAATTTAGTTAATAATAGCCATATTACCTTGAGACTTTAATTTTATCTGAGTGAGGATTTTACTATCTCAGCAAATGTGGTGTATCTGATTTGTCTCCTCTCAGTACTGGTGACACAAGGTGACCATCAGGTGGGGTATAAAACTGCTTTGTAGAGGGTTTGGTGCAAAGTCCTTTCAGATAGAGAGATGTAGTGACACCTCACAGTCAGGCGATAGTCGAGTCACATCCACCACAGTGCACTAGCAGGTCAGTTCCAAACCTTTCTCTTGATAATGCGGATAGGGCAGCAGCTAGCTGATAGCATTATGTCACACCTCAAAGCATCAAGCCCTACAGCTCCTGTGCATACAAGTCAATAAAAAAAACCTCTTTCTCCAGCTGCACACTGGATCTCTCCCAAGAGTTCAGATACAATGGGTGTGGATGAATGGGAGGTTTCACTGAAGAATTACATCAGAAAAAAAGCCGGGAAA